AGAGAGAGAGAGAGGCCTCGCATAGTTCGTAACGGCGGTGGCTGTTGGTTGGCGGGGTGGCAGGCTGATTGGGTTATCCGGCCAGACGAAGCAGAGTTGTTGCTCTGTGTGTTGGGAAGACACGCTTGATATCGCTGGGAAAAACTTCGTCACGTATTCGGGAATAAGTGACCGGCGTAGGAAAGAAGCGTGTGCGTGAGAGGGAGTGGGGACTTGCGGCCAGATTCGCCGGGGTTTGCTCGGCGTAAGCAGATGCGCAGTTTTCGCCGGCGCAGCAGCGTGAGGTGGCGCTGACCGGGAATCGCTACCATGCTTCCAAAGTCAGCGTCGTGCCATATGGACCACAGGAGCGCCCGCTACTCCCCTTGTCCCCGACCTGCGGTTGGTGACGCCCGATACTCCACGGATGACGTTGGCCCCACTGACTCATTACAATAATCAAAGTGCTGAAATACTCCAATTCTAAAAAGTTATAGCAATTAAATCTCCCGAGACATTCACAGCATACTGTTGGAACATCCGCAAATTCAACTTCAATATGTCATTAAACTTTGCAATCCATTGCAACCACATGCTCTACGACATTTACGTAAGTACTGCATATGAAAGTAGAACAGTTGTATGCTATAACATGCGGGGCTTTGCAAGAAATCCAAGTACCTTCTGCTCCATGAATATTCTCGTGAAGTATTTAGTTTAATTAACTTGTCACATTTGAGGTTCATTAAAACTATCGAATTCCTCATCGTTGCTTTGTCACATTCATCCACACGTAATACACGTTATTTGGCGTGGGCTCGGAGTGTGTGGTAATGAACGCCCTTTGTCTCTCTTCCCGTAAGCGAGGTAGAGTGTAGCGCGAACAACCAGGAGTCCGCAGATGTATTACCGGAAATGAAATAAAATCGTTCTTTCCTGATCAGAATAGAGCGCGACGGTAGCTGGCTATGGATCTGAATGGAATTTTATGTTGTAAATAATCGTTCCCAGCCGTGCGAATTGTGCAAGACTGTAAGTGTACCGCAAGTGCGCTACATGCACGATTGAAAGTAAGTCAGTTGGAAGCATTTCAAGACAGTGATGCTTTGTTTGCAGCTCGACTTCCCTGGATCAGTGCCAATTTTACCAGTTGGCAACAAGCCAAACGTAGGTGAAAATGTACATTCGTCCCGAACTCCAGATGGACGAATAAGTTGAAACATGCGGTGGCTGACTGTTCCAACCACCATATGAACTGCAGACACCGAACCTTACGGAAGCCGAAGGCAAGTGAACGACGCGTGCCGGACTGTTAACAATAATGTAAACAGAAATCGGCCTGAATGTCGGATGGAATGGCCCGAGAAGCAGCATAACCGAGCATCGCAATTACAGCCCAACCACAGAGAGCCGCTCTCGCGAGACCCAGCATGCCTCGCAGCTCCGAGCCGCACGAGTATGCTCGCCGCTCCGAGTGTGTGGAGGCACGCCGCCGAAGGTGGGCCTTCGCACACTTCCACGCAACCAACCAAGCCAACAGCATTCTCACTTCAACCGGGGCGTGGCGGAGAGGCTGTCAGCACATGGCCCAAACACTAGGCAACCCGGGACTAAATCACCGCAGGCATCACCACCATGCCGCCACCGCGCCATCTACAACAGCTCCCCAATTTCACCACCACCGCCACTAACACGCGCCACCACTAACATTAACACGCGCCACCACTAACCGCCACGGACGCGCTTGGGTAGCCGGCTGAATGCGACGCGCGTGGGTGTGGGCGAGGGCGGCCATTTCAC